ATCGATTTTTCTTAGTGCTCGTCCTAGATATAGGTATAAACTTGTGTATATAATAGAATAATGCTCTACTTGTGTAAGCCTGTGAACAGGATACAAAGCGTAAACAATCTCGAAGATGTAAATAACTGATACATAGCATGAATAATTTGGGATACAGAAACACATATAAGAATAATAAGAAGCTACTTGCACAAAAATTCATTTGTAGGTACTATAAAATGCCTTATTTAGCAAAATATTCCGAAGTTTACTTCTAAACAAAGCTAAGCTGGTAATCTGCTTAATACCTAAAGGAGTTTATTATACATGGCACTAGATAAATACATCGGACTCTTTTTATTAGCACTAAGATTGGAATTTTGAAAAAGAGTATGGTTATTATGTATGTATTGTAGGCTTGTTATGTCACTGTGTTGGGGAAATAAATATATGCCTTCTATAACAAATAAGCATGACTAGTAGATCAATATTGACGGTGGTATTAAAGTTTTATTATCTGTGAATACTGGTCTACAGCTACCGAGTAGATTGAGACTAAAGACTAATCTAATTAACCTCCTTCGTGAAATAAATATTCTCTGTATGACACCAAAAATCCCCCAAAATAAATAATCAGGAACCTCATGTGACAGTATGCCATTGCAAAATAAGTATCGAGGACATGTTGTTTAGGCCACACGGACCGATACACACATTACGTAAACAACAGCTAGTTCGAAGTTGACATCCTATAGGAAAACCTACATTATCTCAAAAAAACTGACATAATGTCACTATTATACGTAATACCCCGATACATTCTTGTCCTCAGATGCCAAAACGTAATGAAGTATCGTGAAAAAGACTGGATAGTATATCTACAACATCGAATAATGCGCCATGTTTTCAGCATTAACAGTTAAGGTGCCTTGAACGCTCGTCTGTCATGTCACTTAACTAGTCTTAGATAAAAATATAAGCTAGAAGTTGCATTAATCGTCGATTGCTTCAATTTCAGCATGACAACATGAATATTCCCTTCATGTTTTTTTGATTTCCTGTCAATTTGTTTTTTGACGGCGTCAACTTCTATGGATATATAAATATAATATATAAATCTATAGTATAAAATATATAATCTCTTACATGTCTAAGTGGTAAATGTCGCATTTTTAAAAATCTAAATATGCAAATTCCAGATATTAATCGAAACGGATATACTATTGTCATTTATTTTCAGATTCTATTAGCAACAAAAGATAATCTCTGGGAAATTTTACACGACTAAATTTGTCAGGCATATATTCATTAATATTAATTTTTTTTGTTTTTTTTTGTGGTCATTATCTGCATTTCACGATCTTGTTTGCGTTCACGTAAGTATTTAGATTTATACAAATTCTATTGCTACATATTTGTTTTAGTTCCAGATGACAACACTAAGCTAAGGTAGGTATGATGCAAAATCATCGTTACATAAGATTCGTTTAATCTCCGTTGAGAATAAATTAGAATGGTTCATTTCCAAAAAGTTCATTAGGTCAGATCTTCCAAAAGAAACCAGATACTTTTAAGAATGATATGACGTTTTTCAGTTTTTCTGGTTGTGTGAGGCTCTCTGTCAGGTTATCAAATGGTCCATAGATCACTCGATATTGGGACAATATCGAACATGTGCAGATAATGTGGCGTACAGTGAGTGAAGAGTTACATCCAGTGCACAAGGGCGGATCTGTTCCGAGCAAAAGATGTGCATGTGTAAGACGTGTGTGGCCAAAGCGTAAGCGATGTTTGCGCACCCATTCCTCTCGTGGCAGCCTGATAGGATGTGGCCATGATCCTACACTAGGTTTTATCTGTCTTAAGTGGGTATCAGTGTTAACCCATGTAATTTGCCAGTGTCGCTGTATACGGTTTATGAGGTAGTTTTTATGATCAGACATTTTTATTTCAGGGATGTCGATGTTTTGTTGCGCTGCTGCTGCTTTCGCTGCCATATCAGCAGCTTCATTCCCCTGTATACCAACGTGTCCTGGCAACCACAGAAATTTTACGTTCACTCCTTTATTTAATATAATAACGTAAATACATATTTTATTTACGGAAATGTCTGTATTTTTTTGAATTGAGTATTCAAAGGCGCAATGCCAATGACGTTGATTAATTTGCTGAAATGATTTGCTGTTAGAAGTTGCATTATCCGTGGAATGCGTCAATGTCAGCCGCAATAGGGAATATGAATGATTTTTTTTTGTGTTTCCTGTCAATTATTTATGTTAATATTATACGGACCCTCATACGGAAAGTAGCTAAAAGCAATTAGATACCTAAGCAGCTATTTACATTTGAAAATAATGGACCTTCAAAATGCAGAGTCCGTGAGACCAGGGGTCCGCATCAGGGAGGGGCACCAGTTTTGGGCACCTTCCATTTATAACGTAAGGAAGAACCTATGGACAACTCGCGCTTCATGGTCTCCCGGACTAAATGCGATGAATTACTATAAAATATTCCGAACGGAGGCGCTGAAAATAATTACGGAACTTGTGATGTGACGTGAAAGCAGAGCCCGGGAAGCAAGAATCGCGTTGACTTGTCAACTTAGGCGCGGGCTTACTGAATGCCTCCTTTAATTGGATAATGGAAGTTATCTTGGGAGGATAAAGCGATGGAAGATTTGGAAATAATTTAAAGTTGTATGTACCTATTCCGGATTGCTTGAGTTAATTAAAACCGACTGGAGTTCAGATGGTTGAAAAGTTACTTTATGCTCGTTTTCTGGACGGCGGATAGTAATTTGCTTTTAAGAATCTGTCACAACTGCACTTTGTCGATATCAGAACTTTTCGTGATTGCCACTTAAGCTTCCCACGCTACTGGCGAGAAAGTATACTAAGTGACATATAAATCCGAACACCCAGTTTAAATGGTTTTATTTTAATAAAAGTTGGTGAATGTATTTATCTTACTGTAAATAACAAGTGAAAAAATTTTCAGCCCCATCAGTTGGACATTCCGGTTTTTATACTGCTTTTTTTTTAATTCACTAACGCTCTAAAAATGAATATTTCAGCCGCAGTAAAGAATCAACGTTGGCGGATTTTGGTTCTTGACATCCTTTACGATCGGTTACGATGCCTAGAGTACGGAGACCTGTACGATTTCGTCAACTTAGTGAGTTTGATAGGGGCCGTATAGTGGGACTTCGGGAAGCTGGACTTTCTTTTCGGGCAATTGCAGTTAGAGTGCAAAGAACTGTAGACACTGTGGTTAGGTGTTGTCAGGCATGGCTTCGAGAAGGCCGTACGCAAAGAGCAAGGGGCACTGGACGCCGCCGTAGAACAACAGACCGTGAAGATCGCCGCCTAAGATTATTGGCCTTAAGGGACCGTTTCTCCACTACCAGGTCCATTGCAAATCAATGGTTTGCAGAACACGGAAGACCTATTGGCATGCGAAGTGTTTACCGACGAATGAGAAGTTTTGGCTTGTTTTCATACCGGCCACACTGGGTCCTCCCTTTAACTCGAGAACACCGACGTAATCGCCTTGAGTGGTGCAGACAACGGTCACTCTGGGATCAGGAATGGAACAGTATTGTATTTAGTGACGAGTCTCGATTTTGTTTAGGCGTGCACGATGGTCGTGCCAGGGTTAGAAGGCGACGTGGTGAAAGGAGGAATCTACAGTTTTTTGTTGAAAGACATGTTCATCGCACTGTTGGAGTTATGGTTTGGGGTGCTATAGCTTATGGTTCTAGATCACCTTTAATCTTCATCCGAGGTAACATGAACGCGCAGCGTTATATCCACGAAGTTCTAGAACCCCATCTTTTATCCTATCTTGACACCCTGGCAGATCCAACTTTCCAACAAGATAATGCCAGACCACATATTGCAAGAGTCACAATAGACTTCTTTCAACATAATGATGTCACATTGTTACCATGGCCACCAAGATCTCCCGACTTATACCCAATTGAGCACGTGTGGGATATGATGGGTAGGAGATTGCTCAATTTGCAACGTCCTCCTCAGACTCTAGAAGCACTTCGAGAGGAGTTGGTGGTTGCCTGGAATGAGATACCACAGGAGGACATTGTCCACCTGATCAGAAGCATGCCTAGGCGCGTTGGAGAATGCGTAGCACATCAGGGTGCATCCACACATTATTAAAGGTCAAAGGGCTTTAAAGCAGTGCAATCATTTTGAAATTTTTATCATTTACTTATTATGCTTCATTAAGTACTTATACAAAATTTTATTAAAATAAAACCATTTAAACTGGGTGTTCGGATTTATATGTCACTTAGTATATTTCAATTGCGAAAAGTCTATCTATCAGTTTGTTTGTCGGTCTATCTGTCGATTTGTCTTTCGGTCTACATCTACGTTTTCAGGATCCTGTCTGCGCCTGACCGCACCGCAGCGGGCTGGTCAGTATCGTTGCCGGATGGCCGATATTTTCGGTAGTATACGGAATATATTTCTATTTTCGAATGGGTGGGTACTATGGACGAATAATGAAGGCCTGTTTGGCAAACTACATCCTTTTAATTTTTTTGTCTTACATGTTCGCAGCAAACTTTTGCAGAGCGTGGCGCTGATAGCGTTGCGTAGGAAGTGCAGTCAACCTCATTGACGCCATTTTAGATCAGAAGCTCTAAAACATAAATCCATTGTAACGCTTGTGGAGGAACCTGTTCATGAACAATTTCAATTCAATTAGTTTTTATAAATTACATAAACGATGACGTTGTTATCTTATTTTGTCGCGCCGGACCTTTGAGGAGGAGGGAGGGGAGGGGGTGCAGCTGCTCCCTTGGCCTCCTTGAGCACTCTCATAGCGTAACATCTAATAAATTTGCCATTAATGGTTTGCTGTGCCATTTCCAGTTTTTTAAACCTGATTTGCAAGCAGTAAGCACCAACAGCTTTGTTTACTTACAGTGCTCCGCCACACGGTGGGACAAACCGGGAATCTAGATGATCAAAGTCGAATTTTTTATTTTTATTTTGTAGAAGCATGTTCCTTACAGAGGTAAATCCAAGGGGGATCAAAACAAGATGTTTTAACTTGATAAGTGACCTTTGCACCATCTGAGTAAACCAATTTTGATAACAATCACGAGTTATTCAATTATTGTCGATACCACTAAAAGCAAGCTCAGATATACTTCGAAGTTGAGTCATTTATTTTAACAGTGAGTAGATCTGATCAAAAGAAATGTTTTTTTCTGGTAAAATTAAAGTAACAAAGTTATAGCCCTTTAGAAGTTTGAGTACCGCCCTGTCTCAATAATAATATTATGTGCTCGTGTTTGGCAACAACGGATATAATCCGCCTTATCGGTTCATCGCATCGGAAACAAAAAAGCGAAAGAATTTGAAACGCTGATCACGATGTTTTTATTCAGTCAATGTGTCAGTCGGTAACGCGTGAGTGAATAGTGGTGTTTGCTGCGTGGCTCAAACGAAATAAAAAATGGCATATGTTTATGCGGATCGGTTTCCCAATCGAGTGCAACCAACCCCTCGCTCCTTTGTTAATGTAGTACAACGGGCTCGTGAATCAGGTGACTTAAGACCTCACAGGGGAGGGCATGCCGGTGCTCCAAGACCTCACGATCAAATACAGGTCCGCACTGAAATACTTGTTGGGAGGATACTTTGTAAAACAAGGTAAAATTTTTTTTTTATTTTTTTTATTTTTACACACATATTTTGGTTTATCTTCCTTCTACAATCATTATCTGAAAATTAATGACTCAACTTCAAAGTATATTACCTTAGGTCTGTTCCATTTTTCTCATGGAAATCTTCTAGGAAGATATGTACATAGTTTTTTGAATTTTCAATAGCTGCTATTTGCATAGGGTTGCTTTAGTATCCATTTATGAGCTGCCATTTCTATGAAACCCAATGGAACCTAGATATAGAAATAGTTTTGCGACAAAATGATGTTTTTCACTTCCTACGGCACTGTGCGAAGAAGTATTGTAATCGCGAAAAATTTGGAAAATCACGAAAAACCTCATTTCCGTCAGTCTGTCTGTGTGGTTGTCTATCTGACCGCTAATCCTTGACCATGTCTTGGGAAGTATCGGTCGGATTTTGATGGAATTTTCACACAGGGTTACTAATATGCCAAGGATGTAAGGGATTTGTAGTTTCTGAAAATCTATCCAGTTATGTATTTTGACATATCAGAGTATCCTGAAAGTCTTTTGTAGGGCTGAATATTGGGGGTCGTTACGTCTTCGGTATCAGTTAAAGACGTTCTATCATTAACATGTTGACTGCCACCTTTTTTCGGTTGGTTTTATCCAAGGTGCCAATTAGTTGTATAATGGTTAATTTGTTATTTTTGTAGTATTACTTCGTAAAATCAGTTATTGAGATATTTTCGTAAAATGTTTTTTTAATTAGAAGATTTTTTGTGGCTCTTCTAAGAGCCGACGGCGCTGACTTACAAATCGGTTTCCTGTGTGCCAGCTGGCGCTTATAAGAGTCGGAAGATAATTATTTATAACAGAGATAAACTAAAAGCAAAAAAAACATTTACTATCGACCGTTAACAAAAATAAAATATTAAAAACAATTTTTGTAATTCAAAATAGTAGAGAACATATAAAAGTATAACAAAAACTTTTCCCTTAAATAATACACCTAGGGCCAATTTCACCAACAACAGTCCGTTATTCTCCACCTATAGGGTAAGAGACCGTCAAATACAACGAATGAGCTTCAAGTTCCAATCAACAAATTTTAGCAACCAATAGCTATGAAATGTTGAAAACAAAATATTGTCAAAGTATGAGATGATATCTTGTCATCACCAGCTTATTGAATATTAAGAAATTACATATGATTCAGTCAAAATTTAAATTTTTGAATAAAATTCATGTTTTAATTACCATTGTTGATTTTTTAGTCATGATAATATTATTTTCTTTAATTGATATGCGATTTTACTGATTCAAGATCATCTACTGGGTGTTTTTTTCCTATAAACCTGTTGCAGATAGCCATTAAGCACCTACTTGATGACTGGCTCTACCAAAAAGTTCGTAGATATTGCTCGTTTCCAAACATTCATTCATTTACTTGCCGTTGATCAGAAATATTATGGCACCTTAGATTGATAATCCCACAAAATCATTCTGGTTTTTTAATATCCATACATCCATAAAGTTGAATATTTTTCGTAGTCCAGGAACTTAACAAACATCCACACTATATTCACAGCGATTAAGAAATACCCAAATATATGTCGTAGAGCTACCAGCAAACCTAAAACCTGCAGAAAAACTAGAAATTTGCAATATTTTTCTTTTTTCACTGAGTAGATATTCTGGGTTATATTTATATTAGACGTTATTTGAATACAGCTGATTATTGCATTTCAAGGAGTGACACATGTGTGGGCTCTGTCAACTCTGTGTACCAGTCAGAAAACATACTCTGAAGGTTTAGTTCCATGCTATTCAATCACAACACAGTGATTTGTGTGGTAGTCAGCGGCCCTTTTGTGAGGGTGCGACAGGGTTGCCAGATTGTGCATTAATATCCCGTTTCACCCTCCTGGTCCCAGTGGAGTAAGTTCCGATAACTGTTGAAATAAACTCTACTATGCTTTATAAGACTATTCGTGACATTTTTCCCAAAATCATTGCACAACACTTGAAAAAATGCAAATGAAAATTTAAAATTAGTTCCATGACGCCGCAAAATAGCTCCGTCGGTACCTTGGGTTATACATCTTGACAGTAGCGATGTTCGATAGGATCCTATATTTAGGAGTATCAATACATTTCACGAGTATCGTCATCTTTCGATCCGGACTGTGTCAGAAAGAGTGACTGCCATTTGGCTGCAACATTACCCTGCCAAATCAGACATATCTTTAATCATTTCCAAAGAAATTGTACAAAATCTTCAAATATGTGAAGTTGGCGAGTTTCACTTCATACGTTCTTACCAGACATGCCCAAAATATCGGTTGCTGCCGTATGTTAAATTGTGTTGTGTATGTGCACTGATTGCAACGGTTAGATGATACCAAAAATATTTTCATAAATAGGAGATCTTTCCCATTCCGGATCGAACAATCTACCAAAGATGCTTATAATCATGATACCTAGGAAATTCTATGTCCATGGCATTATGCATCAGGGAGATGTAGGGATTGACACGTCTTACACATATTATCTGTGTTTTAGGATGGATAGGACATAATGTTTACTATTATGACATAAAGGAAGATGAGGAATTGGATGGAATGTATTTTATATTCTATTTTCTTGCAAAATCAGACAAATCCACACTATTCAACAGGTATGTAATGATAACTTTCAGTATATTGAAGTTGGTAAATTCGAGAGTGCCATGCATTAACAAACGTGCAAATCTGCTGCCAAATTTAACAGCTAGAAAATCGAGCTACTATTTGCCGCATTCCCATTCGCTGAGGGGGATAACGGATTGTTAAATGTAAACCTATAACATATATCAAAACACATGTATTTTCACGATTTTATTCAATATTTCAATAGAAATCACTGATATTCTGAGAGCTTTGACAGCTTCCGTCAAATTTCATTTCGATAAGGTATTTTCCCATTGGTCCATAATATTAATGTTGGTGAAATCGGCCCCTAATGTGATAAAATCTAATCAAAAATACATGTGTTAAATGTAAACCTATAACATATATCAAAATACATGAATTTTCACGATTTTATTCAATATTTCAATAGAAATCACTGATATTCTGAGAGCTTCCGTCAAATTTCATTTCGATAAGGTATTTTCCCATTGGTCCATAATATTAATGTTGGTGAAATCGGCCCCTAATGTGATAAAATCTAATCAAAAATACAAACATGAATTTGTGGTGAGTGCACACTATTTTTATTGAAAAAAATTATATGTGAATAATGTCACTTCCCTACAAGCAGAACCCTGGAACATCAGGGCATGTTCTATATGTCACTTGCTGACCAGCTCTTCACTTCACTAGACGTCAAAGCGTAATGGTTACTCGTGAGATAGGGCTTACTGTCCACTGTTAATGGGTTAGTTTTAATTCATAAAAGTCCACTTAACTATACTTAGAATAGTCTCTAATGGCAATTCAGTTTATTACTTTCGAAAAGTGACTAATATCTCGGTTATTTCATACCTTGATTTAGAAGAAAAAAATGCTTATATTTACAAGAACTATAAGCCGTATAAAGAAAAAGTGCAAACTGTAAGATTACCTTGTATAAACGATGTAGATTTGACATTAGATATAGGAATTCGGTATAGCATAGTCACCAACGGTTTACAGAGTTTAACGTAATTGCACCGTTATCGAGCCGGTAGTAGCGACCGCAAACTTTAAAACTTTCAAGTAAGTTGTGTTCATAGCAAAACAGTTTTGCCAGCACACCCATTCTGCAACACCAAATTTGCATGTGTTGATGCTGCAGCTATCGGAAAGCTTTTCTGGGAATTATACTGTTCACATGTTGTACATAGAAGACAGAAACAGCGTCATAACCTCAAATATTTTAGAGGAAATCTGTGAGCAGGTTGTCATAGAATAGATATTCATACACTGTTTCTTAGAGGTATTAACAATATTATACGATACACATTATTTTATAAATTTACACATGCTCAACTAGGTATTAACTTTCAGCTAGAAATCTGCTCGGATCACGATCACTATTTAGACAGGTATGTAGTGTTTCAAGAAGGGACAAGTCACAAAGAGCTGCATTGAAATGTATTCTTCAGTGTCAAAAGTTGACTTATAATAAAAAAGTACGATCCATGCGTATCTCATTCTTTGCACAATACGATATAATAACTCTGGTCAACAAAATTTTAACTTTGTCGTGCCACACGGACTTTTTTGATATTTTTTACTTTAATTGGTGATTGTAAGAAAAAATAAACAGTTAAAAAAAATTGCTAGACAAGGATTTTATTCTATTGAGTAATTTAAAATATTAAGAAAAAACACAGATCTCGTAAATCAAAAGTTATTTT